GTGATCAGATCCTTTCAGAGGTGATCAGATCCTTTCAGAGGCGATCAGATCCTTTCAGAGGTGATCAGATCCTTTCAGAGGTGATCTGCTACGTTCTGTTCGGTGTCCTGAGACGCCTTCCGTCGTGCCTGGGTGCTGTAGAAACTGAACTTTTGTATTTCATGGCTCACACTCTTTGTTGACATGATTTACACTCAGTTTGCATCAAAACTGTCCAAATGCACTGGCTTTGTTTTTCTCCAACAATTAATGCCAACAAAGCCCGACTTTATGGTTTTGCTCATTGAATACAAATTAACAGGCAGCCTTTTGATAGAGAATGATGAATATTAAATGTTTTTATGTCATAGATGACACATGTATACAAAATTCTAAATAAAAATCGTGTATTTTGATGTGTCTTGACGTGGACTGCAGAAACGGAACATCAGGAACAAGACATTTTGTCAGAACCAGTTGAAGTATAATAAATAAAGAGTTAAAGCCGCGTGACAACAAACTGTGCGTGAGTGCGAGCTGTCCTCAGGTTAGCACTTAGCTGCTAGCTAACGAGTTTAACCGAGACACGCCCGAATCCAACCACTTCACTGGTTAAACCTCTGCTCCTCCTGGGCTTCGGCTTTACACTTAGCCTTCCACACGTGGCTCAGTCGGTACCACTGGAGGCCAACTACGGACTCTACGTCTAATTTACCGGCGTCTTTCTGATGTGCTCGGCGGCCAGCAGGAGCCTCCCGGTTTTAGACTAAATGTGACTTACAAATACTTACTGTTTCAGTCCTTAAACTAAATACTTAAAATATTCTAAAACTGGAAATAAATGTATATTTGGTGACCACAAATCTAAAGAATTTTTTTTAATTACGTGAAACAACCGGAAAAGAACATTTACCTTAGCTAGTCTTCTGCTCGCCGCCATCTTGAAATTATTAAGGCTTCCCAGAATTCACTGCGCGACCAAAAAAATGGGTTCGTCATTACTTTTTTTTTTTTTAAAGAAAACTTTATTTATAAAAAACACACAAGTATGTAAATGTAAAAAAGGGCATAGTAGAGGCAGACTTAGATATGGGAACATCAAAGCAAAACTGATTAAAGAATGACAAAGTGAAATTAAACAAAAGAAAAGAAAAAATAATAAAATAAACTACAAGGGGGAGTATATGTTAGGATTAGGATTAACATGCATTAGTGGGCAATTCCATTGACATTTCATAAAGCTCTTCATATGTTTCATTCAATATATTTCAGAGATTTCAAAATATAATTGTAATTCAGATTAAAAAAAATGTTAAAAACCCGGGGATGTTTTTAGCACTCTCTGTTTATGAATAAAGAATTTTGTCAGACAAAATATCCCATTACAACGAAGTTCCATTTTTTTGTTTTTCAGTAATACTCCAAATGTTACCATATCTCTGGAAATAGATTCAGGAAGTGTAATTTTTACTGTGATCCACCTTTCTAAGTGATTCCAAAATATTTTTGTTAATATTTTTATCTAGACTGACCCTGGGTTTTTTTTTTTTGATCTGCTCAGAGACAGGATTATAATGAAATTATGACCCGGTCCTGACTGGTTTAAACTGGGCCAGCCACTCTAAAAAGAGTCTCCCAGGGATTCAATATCTGTCAAGGAATAGAGTTTATTTTGCTCGCTGCATCAGAAAGAATTTTTCCTGTCACGTTAACTCACATAAGGTCCAAAAGAGACCACACTTAGTCTCTCCCCTCATACACTGACAGGTTGTGCTCCCCTCCTGCGAAAGGACGAGTCTAGGTCCTACAAATCTGTAATGACACGAGACATCTGGCCCTTCTGGTTCCTGATCTCATGTCGTGTATCGGCGATGTAAACTGTAACCGTTTCCTGCCTTGATTTTAATACAGTTGGTAAAACTTCAGTCACGTTTCCTTGATTTATTAATACTGTGAGTTGTCGCTTCTGAGGGGGATCCGAGCCACGGGGAGCATGAGCTGGAGGCAGACCTGGGTCCGAGAGGAGACCTGAGGCCCATGGCCAGCAACAGCTAGCTGCAGTGACTCGTGACCCACATCCAGAGTCAGAGTCAGAGTCAGAGTTTCTTTATTGTCATTCGCACCTCATGTGGTACATGTGGTGGAGCGAAATTATGTACACAGGGTCCCAGTTACATCCAACAATAAAATGTATAAGAAAAACAGTAATAACATCTAAGATATGAACCAAGAAAAACATCAACTAAATATACACTAAGCACTCATAACATAAAACATTGAACATCAGCACAAACATGAACATGAGTCTGTGAGCAGATGTGCACGCATGAACACATCAACATTGAAACAGATCAGCAGCAACATGAAATAGATCAGCAGCAACATGAAATAGATCAGCAGCAACATGAAATAGATCAGCAGCAACATGATATGGTTTTACACAGTGATTATTCTAGTTAGAGATTCATGAGTCTAACAGCCTCAGGGTAGAAGCTGTTCCTCAGTCTAGTGGTTCTACACTTAATGCTCCTCAACCTCCTTCCTGAGGGGAGTGGGGCAAAATGTGTGTGCTGGGTGAGTGGGGTCCTTCATGATGCAGGTGGCCCTCTTCCTGCATCTGGAGGTGTAGATGTCTGTGATGGTGGGGAGACTGACTCCAGCATCTTCTGTGCAGCCTTCACCACTCTCTGCAAAGCTTTTCTTTCTGCAGCTGTGCAGCCTCCATGCCACACGTTGATGCTGGAGCACAGGATGCTCTCCACTGCACACCTGTAGAAGGAGGTGAGGACTGAGCTTCCCAGACCAGCTCGCCTCAGCCGTCTGAGGAAGTAGAGTCTCTGATGAGCTTTCTTGATCAGGCTGGTGGTGTTGTTGCTCCAGCTGAGGTTGTCATTCATGTGTACACCCAAGTACTTGTAGCTGGAGACCACTTCCACCGCAGATCCTCTTATGCTCAGGGGGGTGTAGGTGTTTTTGTTCCTTCTGAAGTCCACAATCATCTCCTTTGTCTTCTTCACATTGATGTGAAGGTTATTCTCTTTGCACCAGCTCTCCAGGTGTTCCACCTCTTGCCTGTAGCTGGACTCATCATTGTTTGTGATTCATCCCAGCACCGCTGTATCATCTGCAAACTTTACAATGTGACAGCCTGGATGGGTAACTGCACAATCAAACGTGAGCAGAGTAAACAGGAGGGGGCTCGACACACATCCCTGAGGAGAGCCAGTGCTGAGGGTTATGGTGGAGGAGGAGAGGTTGTGGATCCTCACTAACTGTGGTCTGTTTGTTAAATAGTCTAGTACCTAGTTGCAAATGGAGGAGCTTAGTCCTAGTGTGGATAGTTTGTCCATCAGGGTTTGGGGGATCATGGTGTTGAAGGCGGATGTGAAGTCCACAAAGAGCATACGGACGCAAGAGTTTTTCTGCTCCAGGTGGTTGAGCGCAGTGTGGACCACAGAGGAGATGGCATCCTCTGTTGATCGGTTCTCACGGTATGCGTACTGATGAGGGTCCTCGTTGATGTTGATGGTTGTTTTGATGCGAGTCATGACCAGTTTTTCGAAGCATTTAGCGACTATCGGGGTGAGGGCCACTGGCCGATAGTCATTCAGACCAGTCACTGTAGAGCTTTTTGGGACTGGGATGATGGTGGCAGTCTTCAGGCAGGTGGGAACTGTCTCCAGGGTAAGTGAGGTGTTAAAGATGTCTGCCAGCACCTCACAGAGCTGATCAGCACATTCTTTCAACACTTTTCCGGGGATGTTATCTGGGCCAGTTGCCTTGTGCGGATTAATCCTCCTGAAGGTACTCCTTACTTCTGCTGAGGTCACGCTGAGATTCTCTTCATCCGGTGGTGAGGTGAGTCTGGTGCTGGGTGGTCTGTTCGGGTCTTCAAAGCGTGCATAGAACTTGTTGAGGGCATCAGGCAGAGATGGGTCTTTGGG